AGCCCTGTCCACTTTGTTGTGTGTTTCCTGTACTTTATTTTTGTTCTTTGCTTAGCTATTGAAATAATAAAATAAGATCAAAATGAGAAGAAAAGGTTTCTTTTCAATTACAATATTTGCGCTCATATTTGATTTTGTGATAACTAATGTTCTCTGCAACCATAATTTTCCTCATTAATTTTTATTCTTATCTCACTAATCAAATTTTGATATTGTTTTAGAATTATTTAGAAATTGAGCTTTCATGCAACACTCTAGGAGTTTGAGGTGTTGAACTTGGAGTATAAGAGTTAGGATTGAGTTTGAAAATGAGAGTGGTGGGGGGAAGAAAAATTCAACCGTAGCATGTTAAGGCAGAGAAGAGGGAGTTACCGAGGGTAGTGATCGAATTGAGGAGGGTGTTGAAAGACGCGAAAGCAAAACTGGAGCAGTTAAAGAGAGAGAAGTGAGAGATGATGAGGATATTAATAAAAATGGAGAGGGTATTGAAGGACATGGAAGTGTACTGAAGCATGTGAAGGCATACAAGGGGGGAGATGAGCATATTGATGGAATTGGAGATGAGTTTTGGTTTTAGCGAACTTATTATAACTGGCCTTGAGGAAGATGAGTTGGCAAAACACAGGAAGATGATTGAGGATTTGAAGAGCGAGTTGACAAAAACCCTAATTGGTAGAGAAATTGAGGGTCGCAGAGAGAAGGTCCATCAAAGTAGCAGAAATGGAGTTGCAGAAGGAGGATTAGAAAGTGAATGTTTGGTTGAAACATATGCTTCTTGAGATTGAAGATAGAGTAGATAAAAATTTGGTCGTTCAATGGAGAGTGGTCGCTATTGGATCATTAGGTTTATAGTTTTTGCAGCTACCACAACCTATTTCTATCTTAAAACGAGTAATCATTGATTGATTTAATGAAGTAGGTTGATTCTTTATTCAACCTACTGGAACTGATAGATAATGACTGTCTAATTTTGCGTCATATTACTTTGATCGAGTCTGTTAGTATATTGGGGGTAACCCAATTTACTTTGATCGTTTGCTCTCAAGTTTTGATGGTCCACTCTTAGCCGAGTTGTTACTTGTTAGTATATAGTTGACTTGAACCTACAACTATCCATTTCTTTTTTATTAGTGGCATATTGCCCCCAAAATGAGAGAATTGAACCATTTACGTAGGATTGTGAGGTTTTAGATTCAGTTTCAAATTATCTATGGGTCGTGTGGGAATTCCAGTGAGCTTTTATACTCTATCTTTCTTAACAATCAACTAACCAATAACATATTAACTAGGCATAATTATCATTATGAAAATGAGATCAATCATACATTTTTATGTTTTATTTTTCTCAAATGATGATGATATTTCTCTGAATGTTCGATCTATATATTCTTTCTTTATGTATCATCTCGATCGAAAGATTGCCAATAAAATTAAACAGGTTGATAGACTTTAACGTAACATAAAAAGTATAAAAAATAAAATATAAACATTCCGGCCAACGGGCCGGATTATAAGCTAGTATATTGAATACTAATGAAGCCATGTTGTACCTGATCACTCATACTATGACAATCCAACTCAATATTCTTCGTGCACTTGTGTTAGACTGGACTTTGGTGCCATATAGATTGTTGATTTGATGTCACAATGAATAAGTAAAGTGCATTGATGAAGCTCCGTTATAAGATAGGAAATCCATAGAAGCTTACATGTTGTATCTGCTAAACCTCGACATTCTGCTTCTGCTGATAAGTGGGTTACAACCTATTCTTTTGTGCTGTCTGGTGTCGATGCAGCCTACCCACTCAGCATTGGAATAAGCTTGAATGGAGATGGATGGTTGGGCTGAGAAGAATATACCTTAAGTTCAAACAATTTTGATTAAGCAAAACACCATTTGGATAGCTTGATAATGTGGAGTTCTTGGAGTAGAAACAAATTGAGCTAACAGTTTGAAAATAAACTATAAGTTAGGATGAGTGTTGCATAGATATTGCAAACGACCCATCAATATTTTTATAGCTAATAGCTTCGTCTTCATGAAGAAGTTCTCCTTTAGCTTGTGAAAGTTGTAGACATGGTTTCAAGTGGTGAATTGGCTAGATTGGAAGCAAGTATACCATATTCTTCTAGCCATTATAGTGCATTTGTTTGCTGGTTCATGTGAATACCTGCAGAGGAACGTGTCAACTCCACAACAGGAAAAATTTCAATGCGCCTAGGTCTTTGATAATGAAGGTATTGTGTAGACATTGTTTAATTCAGTTTTGTCTAGGTTTTGTTTGATATGGTTAATCTACATAAACTAATAAGGTAGTGAAGGAGGTAGGGCTAACATTGGTGAATGATGAATAATAAGCTTTTGATTGTTTGTAACTTTGAAATAAGAGAGTATTGATAAGTTTATAAATCATTGTCAACTTGCCTGTTTTAAACCGTAATTACTTTTGGTTGATCTGCGAACTTTATTAGCATCATATGGATCAATAGAAAGTCCAATTAGTTGTATCCTATATACTTTCTCATCTAGGTCTCCATGCAAATAGGATGAGTTGACATCTAATTGTTGTAGGTGCCAATTATTAATGACAACTAAGGTAATGAGAACTCTAATAGTTGTCATTTTTGCTACAAGACTATATGTATCAAAGTAGTCGATATCATAAGTTTGGGTATCAACCCTTAGCTACCTATCTAGCTTTGTATCTTTCCACGGATCCATCATCCTTCCTCATACTTAACTCAAAAACTCCATTTACACCATATAGTAGTTTTACCAAGGACTAACTCAACAAGAGTCCAAGTTTTTGTGTATCGGAGGGCCATAAGTTCTAGGAGGACAGCTCGAACCAATATGGGGTTTTGAATGCTTGTCTATATGTTTAAGTTCAAGTATTTGCATAAGTGTTAAGGCAAAATGCTTGTATGAAGAAGACAAATTAGATTTTAAATAAGTGTTCAAGTATTTGCGCATGAAAATAGAAAACCTAGAGTCAGGTTAATATGCATAAATTAAAAATTGCTTCAATTTAATGATAAAGTTTCGAAATTGGATGGTTCTCATGGTTGAAATTAATTGATTTTTAAATAACCTACCTTTATCAATTGTATTGTGTCTTTTTTAATTTAAATATGATTTCAAAAGTTTTGTAAACGAAAAAGAATTAACTGTGATTTACAAAACATCCACTTATATATTTCAAGATAAAATTTTTACAATCATATATACCACCACGACATAGTTTTCATACCACCATGATATAGGACACATTTATCACTGTAAATGTAATTTTTTAGAGTATATTTATTTGTTTTTTATATAAAAATATGAAATCCGAGTTCAAACAAATAAGATATAGTCTGTTAAAATTAACGTGAATATATTTGTATGTCGGCTCCGCCTTAAACCTCTCATTCGTGAATACGTTAAAATTACATAAGCCTCTACAGTTTGCTTATGCTTTATTATCGTTTGATGAATGATTAGAAAAACCTAGGTCACCACCTCTTCACATACATCTTCATTTTGACTTCACTCAAACCGCCTTCGTTCCTAAATTCCTTCTCATGTGTGTCTAGAGTTGGGTTTCACAATCTCTCATCTCCAATTAATTATAAATGGTAATACTTTATTTTTCAATAAATATACATAAATTAGTCTTTGATAGCCATCAAATTATCTTGTAAGTTGTTCATTAGAATGATTATGAAGGAACTCAATTTCATTTTTTTGTTCATACCACAAATCATTAAAAACTAAAAAAAACTTTTCTTTCAATAAGAATCTACAAATGTTTGAATAAAATCATACATAAATAAAAGAGAAATTTAGTTATCGGTCAAATGAAAACTTTCATTTAAATTTTCATGTCACGCTCATGATTTAAATTATCTACTACCACCAGAAGGTTCATCAACTGCTAAGTTTGTTGATAGGCACATTCATCAAACGTAGAATTGAGTTGAAAAACAACTCCATTTTATCATTACATATGATAAAATGGTAAGGTTCATGTGTACATAATGATCTATGGTGGTATCGTAGAGTTTAGTTATATGAGTCACAAGATTGGTTACATTTCAATTCTAATTGGTTTTGTTAGTGTGAGATATCGAAGTTGCAAAATATTTTTGAGAGTACATAAGGATCTAAAATGGTATCTTTTGGCTTTAATTATATGAGTGACAAGATGGACCATTATTTGAATGATTGACAAGGGTTATACGTATCAATTAGAAAACAAATTTACCATCTATTGAGCAGTTTACTACCAGCAGAATGTTCAACTTCTAACTTAGTTGAGTTATACATTCAACAAAGAAGAAATAACTTGAAATTACTCTAATTCGATTATTGCATAGATAATTTAAATCATGTGCGTGATTTTGTTTTCATGAGGTTGAAAAAATATTAGATTCCCGCAATATTTTGGCTGAAACATGTGGATGCATGAAATCAATGAAAAGTTATGTACAACATATGATGTTGAAAATTGTTGGCCAATCAAAGAGAAGATGATCGTGAATATGATTTTCAAAATAGTGATGAAACTATGACTCTTATTGTTTTACATGATCATTGCTTCAAGCCACACTCAAACAACATATGGTGACCCTACTATCAAATAATAAAGTTTGAATAAAAAATAATTTTAATAAATATACAAAGAGAAATAGTAACCTATCGCTATTAAAAAATATTAAAACATGCCGCCCATTGGACAGGCACAAAACTAGTATAAGTTATTTATAGCGGTCCAGATTAAAGTTAATTAATGGATGAATATTTGATTTTGGGGAATTTTGTATATATGAATTTTATATCTTATCCGCTTCTATAATTTTTATCCAATAAAACCATGAGAGTCACTCACCAATAGTATCCTCGAGTTCATGCCATATTTAAGATTTTTTTCCTGTTATTTACGATGGTGAAAATCTAGGTGGGATATTCTTCCTAAATAATATATATATACATCTCCAAATAAAACTAAAAATCTTCAACGAGATATAACAAAATCATTCATTAGAACAGAATCCAACTATACCAAAATAAGTTGTAGAGATTCAATCAACCAAGGAATGCGTTTCATTTTTGGTCCCAAATCCAGCCAATATCCAGGTACATTTTAGTACACATCACCTGTTCATCACTCGAAATTTTACCAATTAGCCGTCCCTCTGACAATCCTTTTTTATCTTTAAATACTCAAAGCAAACTAATGAAAACGAAATAGCACAAACCACTTCCTCGTTCCTAAATCCTCTCTCTTCCACATCTTTCAGAAATGGATTTCAACAGTGCATACAATTCAAGGAGGAAGCCCTTTCTGCAATGCGCTATAGCAACGACCACTCTCGTCGCTATAGTCATTGTCGTCGGTGTAACGCTAGGCTTCACCGTGTTCCGGCCCCGGAACCCAACCGTCGTCCTTTACCCAGTGGGCTTGAGCAACCTCACAATGATGGATCTAACCACGCAGCAGAACATCACGACGAAGATGGTCGTCGGCATTGGCAACGAAAACTACGCCGGTTTCAAATTCGGTGACGCGACAGGTTTGGTGACTTTTGGCGATGACGTGGTCGGCGAAGCCCCGATCCTAGGGCAAGAGATCCACCCGCGGTCGTCCGTAAACATAACAACGTGGTCGGTTCTGATGCCGGCGAAGATGATGAGCAACCCAGCGGCGATCACGGAGATCTCGTCGGGGAAGGTGGAGCTGAAGTCGACGGTGAAGCTGCATGGGAAGTCGTCGTTTTTGGGGGTTAAAGTGAAGACGTCGGCGTACACGGAGTGCTACCTCACGATTGTGTTTGGGGAGGTGCTAAGTGGGGAGAGTTGGTGCTGGAGCAAGCTCAAGATAAACTGATGGGGTAAAAAAGAAAGAGTATAAAATATTAGGCATAATGATTTTTTATTTTTGCTGTTTGGATAGAAGAAACGTGTTATTTTGTATTTGTTGTGTTTCTATTATTATGCATGTTATGTTATTGTTATTGCTAATTAATGTAGAAAGATGATTCGGATGAAATAAATCTCCAATGGAGATTAATATGTATCAAATGGGATAAATCTTGCATTAAGATCTATTATGCTAAGAATTTTGAGCTCTTTTGTGCGAAATAAATTGATTGGTTAGTAAGAACGTGCAGAATATCGGCTTGTTTAGATTTGAATAGATAAAATTTCAAGAAAATAAATTAATTTTCACATGTGACATGTGAGTGAAAAAGGTAAAAGTTCGTTCATCTTAAACGTGGTAATATTTTGAAATAATTTACACAATAAATAAAAGTCAAATGAAAAAACTTGAAGTCCCATTTCAAATTTCCTGCATCCAGAGTGAAAATAGAAATGACATTTTGGTTTTCACAATTACATTTTTTTATTCATTAAAAAGACACTAGGATTCGAACCATGACCACTTTAAAGAAAAGTAAAGATCAAAACCAATCACACTAAGTACATTTGTTGTATCTTTAAATTAAAAATATATAATCGCAGAGAAGAAAAAACCCTTCCCCCATTTCAAATTCCCTGCTCCAGGAGCATTTGTAGGAAGGGTAGAATAGGGAGTATCAATTTTTTTCTTTTTCCTCCGTGGAACGGGCCAACTTACCGTACACATGCAGATTTAAACGGGTCCAGAAGTGTCAATTTGTTATTTATGTCCTTTTATTTCTCCGTGGTGGTAAAATATATATGAAAAGGCAAAAACAATACTCCTTTTTATTGCTAAAAAGAAAAAAAAATTTAACAATAAACTAATGTATGGATTCTAATGGGCTAACCGCTAATCATAAAATAAAAGAGTTGAATGGGCATGACCTACACAGGATTTTCCCATCAAGTAAAACAAATGAACATCATGGGTTTGCCATTCTAAAACAAGTTATTTTCTCTAGCATAATATATATTATGCTATTATTTTATATCTTAGCGGCTAAAATATAATGTATTTCAAAGTTATTCAATGATTCAACCTCAACCAACTCAATTAGTCCAATTTTTATCATTTCAAATATATATTATGTAATTATTTAATATCATAATGATTAAATTATAGTGTATATTATAGGGAATCGTTTGGTATTTGTTAGTAAAAAACTAAACAGAAAGATCTATTTGGTTATTTTTAACATTAAAACGATCCTAAACATTTTCAGTTTCCTTTCGAAATTTTATAGTTTTATTCCCGAATCAGTGATGTGCAAATGGCGAATTGCATTCATCTCTTTTCTTTCATTATTTTTTATTTTCTAATGGAAACTTTAAAAGTAAAGAATAATTAGAGTTTGGCATGGGTCGGTCAAACATGCTGAATTTCAAGTTTTGCCCCATTTTGATCAAGTCTAATATAGAATCACATGGTTCCCTGATACCCGATAAAAATCTCAATCCAAACCAGTTTGGCAGGTGAGTCCGTGTTTACCACTATTTTCTAGGGATACAGGAACGGTGGTTCCTATCCCAAATCGTGTTGTTCATTGTTGATTTCTTTAGATTTTATCATGGCTTGGCAAAAAACCAGAAAGCACAATGATGACAAGATGAAAGATTTATAAAGCAAATTAATCGGCCAACGGGCCGAGTAAAAGCTAGCAACGATTGTGAGATGCTCATTTCCCGAAAACCGGCGGGATAGGCGATTTTTTATTCGATTTTCTGGAATTCGATTTCTATAAAACTTACTGCACCTCATCATATCACCAGAAACAATATTGTTTCACAAGGTAACAGGTACTTGATTTTGGTTCATAAGGCTGATTTTTGATTCGTTGCATTATTCATGTCTCTTTCCTACTAAAATTCACTATTTTTATCACGTGTTTCCCCAAAAAAAACTATACAACAATAAGCTATACACCACATAACATTACCAAATTTCATACCTCACCTTCCTCCGGCCAAATGGCCGGGGCCCACGCTAGTTTAACAATATACTAATAGAACCTCCATATTCATCGTATTTTGTTGGACTTGAAACCCGCTCGGCCCATGACTAAGACACATGCCCATGCACAGCGGCCCACGTCCTGCATGGTTTCCGTGTTTGATGAGGATAAGGAGCATGAATTAACCCTAGATACATGTCGAAGGGATATATATGTACCATGTACTCGGCTTATGCCGTCAACGAAATCAGTGAAATAAAATAAGTAGTTGGAGGCTCAACCCTCCCGTGGATTAGTCCCGAATACTTCAGGGATACCACATAAAATTGTCTGTCTCGTTAGATTTCTCGTTAATCGTTTCATCCGATATCTCATGGTATCAGAGCTGTAGCATCCTTCTAGCTTCTTGCTACGATGACTGACGACAAGACTAGTATTGATGATTCCAGCAGCGGCACCAAACACGAAGACAGTGACTCTGTCCGTCCGCCGGTTTTCCTTCTTCACAACTCTGACGGACCCGACCAGCTGCTGGTTGGTGATATCCTCACGTCCACTAACTATGGGGAGTGAGTTCTTGACATAAAGGACTCCCTCATTGCTAAGAACAAGTTTTCCTTTGTTGATGGGTCGTTACCCAAGCCTGACGCGGGGGAGATGCGGAGTGCTTGGATTCGTTGCGACGCCATGGTTAAAGGATGGCTTAAGACTTCTATGAACAAGGAGATTCTTAGCAGCATCAGATTTGCCGAGACATCTTGCGAAATTTGGGATGATCTTTGCAATCGGTTTGGGAAAGGCAATGTGTCTCGCGCATATGAGTTGTGTTGCATAATCAGCCTTCTCCAACAGAAGAAACACTCTGTTTATACCTTTAATACGAAACTGTGATCCTACTGGGAGGAATCAACAACAATCTCGCCGATCCCTAGCTGCACGTGTGGTCACTGTACGTGCGGGGTCTCACTCCGCATCCGCCAGCAGCAGGAGAGTTCTCGTCTTTTCGACTTCCTGATGGGGCTAACGATGCGTTTTCTGGAGTTCGAACTCAGCTTCTAGCCATGAAACCCACCCCGACTTTGGCTGAAGCTTTTAACATCACCATCAACGAGAAACAGCAGCGGATGATCACACAAAACTACAAACCCACGGCTGAAGCTGCCGCTTTTTCTGTGCGCAATGATGGTGATCGCGGTGCTCAATGCGGCGGCAAAGATAAACCCCGCTGTAGCTATTGTCAAAATCCTGGACATCTCCGCGAACAATGCTACCAGCTGAATGGCTATCATCCACGCGAAGGACGTGAAGGACGTGACGGGCATGATGCTCGCCCCAGCTTTAACGCTAGTGACCCCCATGAGCGATCGACCGAGCAGCAGTGGCGTCGATAGCAGGGTCGCTCGTTCGGTGAAAGCTCTTCCCGTGACCGAGATCGAGAGCCGCGTGCGGCGCAGGTCGAGCACGATAAGGACGAGCGTAGTCCGATTGCTGGTTTCACGCTAGCACAATTGGAGCAACTTAAACAATTTTTTGGATATCAAGCTTAGAGTGCTGAAGATACCTCGGCCAACTTAGCAGGTATGTTTTCTTTGGGCACTAAATGGTTACTTGACTTCGACTGCAATGAACATATTACTATGCATGATGATTTTTTGACGAACAAGATTAAACTCAAAAAATGGGCAGCCGGTACGTATTCCCAATGGTGATTATATCCCCGTTGCACACGTGGGAAGTGTTGTTTTGGGTCCTGATCTTACTCTCCATCGTGTTCTACATGTTCTTGAGTTCCGGTGCAACTTGATTTCGGTCGGCCGTTTTGCTAGAGAGAATCTTGTGGCTTTAATATTTTTCGATGATTTTTGCATCATTCAGGACTTACATTCCAGAAAGTTGATTGGGAAGGGTGAACTACGTGATGGGTTGTACTATTTGCGACTGTTTGGTGTTGAACAGGTTCGAGCTTGTGCGGCACAGAAACAGAGCAGAGTACAGGATGACATCTGGCATGCACGTCTTGAACACCCATCCCCGCCAAAGCTGCAACATTTGCGCAAGGATCTTAGCATTTCTTTTGTTTCCAATAAAGCTTGTGATTCATGTTCTAGGGAAAAACTGACTTGCAACCCCTCATCCACTTTCTCATTTTGTTTCCTATGAGAATTTTACCCCTGCTTATCGCGCTTTTCTTGTTGCAGTTACAAGTCATGATGAGCCGCGCTCGGTCCGTGAAGCTTTTGCCGACAATCATTGGTGTGATGAAATGCTTGCAGAAATTCGTGCGCTTAAGCAAAATGGCACTTGGATTCTGGTTTCTCTGCCACCAGGAAAGTGCACAATCGCTTCAAAATGGGTCTTCAAGATCAAGTATCGTCTCGATGGGACCATTGAGCGCTACAAAGCTCAACGTGTTGCCAAAGGGTACACACAGATTGAAGGGGTTGACTTCCACGATACCTTCGCTCCTGTGGCCAAGCTAGTCACCGTTCGTTGTCTTCTTGGTATTACCATCAACCGTGATTGGCACCTTCATCAACTTGACGTCAATAATGCGTTCCTACACGGGGATATCGAGGAGTAAGTCTATGTGAAGCTTCCCCCCGGTTCTGCCGTCTACACAAGTCTCTCTATAGACTTCGCCACGCGTCACGTAACTGGTATCATAAGTTCACTACTGCTCTTTGCAGTCTTGATTTTCGCCCCTCACCCGCCGCCTATTCGCTGTTCATTTTTCGCCGAGGGAGTACTTTTGTGGTTGCCCTTATCTACGTCGATGACGTTCTCTTGACTGGGAATGATTTGTCCTTCATCACCCATGTCAAGCGCTTTCTTGATGATCAGCTGAGCATCAAAGATCTGGGGGATCTCCGTTATTTCTTGGGATGGAAGTGGCACGTACTCGGGATGGGATCATTCTTTACCAGTGTAAGTATGTGTTGGACATTCTCAAAGACGCTAGTATGGAAGGTGCTCGCCCTAGTGCATTCCCGGTCAAACAGAATCATCACTTGACTCGCCTAGATCTAGATGATGCGCCTCTTGCTGATCCCTCGATGTACAGGTGACTTGTCGGTCGTCTTCTCTACTTGACAGTCACTAGCCCTCATATCACATACGTGGTCAATGTTTTGAGCCAGTTCGTCAATGCCCCTCGTCATTGCCATCTGCACTACAAAAAAACTTGGCTACAGAGGGAGAGATTATTTGCTTCTAAATGACATTTATTTGCTTCTATATATCTATGGGGGCAGATACGTTATTTGCATCGGACGCCTCTGTCTCTAATTCCTTTTAGAGTCAAATATAGATGCAAATAACATAGGCTACTAATTATGAAATTAGAAGCAAATTTATTGCATTCGGATTCTATCTACAAGAGCTTGTCTTTTATCTTCTTATTTACTTTTAGAAGCAATTACATTTGTTTGAAATGTTAACTTTTGATGCAACTATATTTGCTTCTAAACTTCCTTATGGAGACATGAATATTTGTCTCTAATGAATACATTTTTCGAAGCAAATAATTTTTTTTACTACTTTTGCTTGTTGACTTATTGTTGCAATAATATTTCTCTTATAATTGGCTCTATTTAATAAAAAGTAAGCATATTTTGATTAAACAAATCAAAAAGATCAACGTTTACATGATTCTTAAAATACATGAAGGTTGAATACATCAAACTAAATACATACATTTGTTCAAAAAAAAAAAAAACTAAATACATTGATTTTCCACAATTTTCAATGCTTATTATATAGTTGGACAAGGAAAAAGTACACTAAAAATTGTATCCTAACAGAGAAGGACTATTGAGCTCTTCTTCTCCCTTATCACTTTTCCATTGTTGCTGCTGCCCTTGAACCAAAAATGTAGACGTAACCCATGTCTTGGTTTGCCTTTACTTGTCACCACCAATCATCATTAAGCATCTCGAGCAGATTTGAAAAACTCGACAATTGTATCCTGAAAGGAGAATAAGAACAAATAGCTTAAAAAATCAAGAAACCTAATTAATATATTCAATCAAGTTTTAATATGTATGAATTGACAATGCGACCGTGAAACAATAAATTACCAATCCTCAATGGTCAGCATTCTAGTTTCCAGAGCGCTGCATGCTAATGCCTGCGTGCCTTGAAACAATTGCCTGAGATACTTGAAATTGAAAAAAGCAAACGCCCAAAAGACGGGATTAGAAACCCTAAACACCAATACAGGAAGAGCGGCAATATTTTTATACATACCGCTGTTATTGTCGATCTGCAGTATTATTGTGTTATGCCGTGAAGACTCCGTCGTTTTACCTTGGTCGACCCATTACGACGCCTCTGCCACAACTACCATTGTTATGATTCTGCTACTGCATCGCATGCATATCCGTTGGTTGTTCATCGGCCTTCAATATCCCACCACCAATACTAGACATCAGAAGCCTCTTCTAGTCGCTGCTGGCATCTCCATAGAATCCAATGGGGGAGCCGGGGAAGAAGAACTAGTGAAGAGAGTATGAAGACAAAGGGACTCTCTCTCTCTCGTTATTAGGATTGTTTTAACAGCTAATATTAGGTGTTGTTATTGAAAGCAACTTTATTATTATAAGGGTAAATAAGCGTGGCTGGCTTCACAGTTTCCCTTTCGGAAGAAGCGAAATTTTTGCACTTCGAACATTTCAATCCCGCTCGTTTACCCTCTCTTTGTTTCAAATTTTCATGTCCCGCTCAGATTCTCTCTCCCCTTCATTTGTAGGGAATGCAAAGCATTACACGTAATTATTATATACATATATAAGTACATTTATTAGTGCCTGTAATACTAAATATATTAAATTATTTTATTTAAAAACGAAACAACTTTACAAGCAATTAGATTTCCCTCTATATATCATTTATAGTTTGAGTAACATACTATACAGTAGCAAATATTATATTTGTCTCTGAAGCTTTTTATTTGAATTTATTTCTTATAAATTATAAAAAATATTACGTAATAGAGGCAAATAATATGACATAGAGAGACAAATAATATATTTGTTGGCATAGTCCAGCTATCGAGACTATTACTATAATTGTCTCTAATTATTTGCTTCAATAGCCACATTTTCTTGTAGTGCTGGATGCGGACTTACGTATCCTCTGTTACCTCAAGACCTCGCCAGGACAGGGAATTTTCTTCCCATCTGCGTAATGACCTCACTCTCGCAACTTATTGTGATGCAGATTGGGGCGGGTGTCCGAGCATCCGCCGATCGATAACTGGCTACTTTATCACTCTCGGTGGTGCTCCCATCTCCTGGCGTACCAAAAAACAGAAGGTGGTCGCATGCTCCTTTACCGAGGCCGAGTACCGTGCCATGGCCAGTACGGTTAGTGAAGTTATCTGGCTTTGATGGTTGCTCATTGAGCTTGGTGTTCCACAACAGCGCGCCACTCCACTCTACTATGACAATTAGGCTGCCCTCCATATCTCCGCTAATCCGGTGTTCCATGAGCGCACTAAACACGTTGAAATGGATTGCTACTTCGTCCGTGAGCGAGTGCAATCCGACGCTATTTTGCCTCTAAAGATCAGCACTCATCTCCAGTTCGGCGACATTCTCACGAAAGGCTTGGGCACTGATCGCTTCCGCTTTCTTCTCTCTAAGCTGAACGTTCGTGACCTTCACGCTCCAGCTTGCGGGGGAGTGTTGGACTTAAGAACCGCTCAGTCCATGACCGAGATACATGCCCATGCACAGCGCCCCACGTCCTGCATGGTTTCCGTGTTTGATGAGGATACGAAGCATGAATTAACTGTAGTTACACGTCGAAGGGATATGTATGTACCATGTACTCGCCTTATGTCGTCAACGAAATCAGTGAAATAAATCAATAGCTGGATGCTTCAACGCTCCCGTAGATTAGACCTAAATACTTCGGGGATACCGCGTAAAATCATCTGTCTCGTTAGATTTCTCATTAATCGATTTATCCGATTTCTCATATTTATTTAACAAATAATAATACCAACCGAAAGCTAGATCGAGAAGGTGCATCAAAGATGGAAACCGAGATTGTGGGTGAAGAAATCAAAGATTGTTAGTGGAAATGGAGGTTCTTAGAAAAAAGAGGCATGATGAAGCGACACACATAATGACCAAAATGAAATATAATTGAGAAGAGCCAGAAGTGTGGCTAATTAGGCGATCATTTTCTTATTTTTTCCACACCTTTTGTTGACTGTAAATAGACTATAGCTGGTTAATTATATATCCAAGATTTCCTATAAAACTAATAATAATACAAATTGTATGATTTTATTGAGGATTTTATTGAGGATTTTGTTGACTATAGCTGCTTAAAAATTATATGCTTTTATTGAGGATTTTTATTTGATCCATGAATGAAAGCAAAAATAGTAGATAGTTGACATTATCCATCGTCAAATCGCAAAGTATATTTGTGGAGTGGTCCCTGGGATAATTTTAAGAAACCGCAACAAAATCCAACATTACCAAATTAGCGTT